TATAAATGATAAGGTCATTATCAAAGTTACCCAGAAGCATTTCCAATTCGTGCATACGGATATTAGTCAAGAACATGAGAAGAAGGGTGTAACAATTTATAGGAAGAACTGAGGAAGATCTTGATAACTATGAATCATAGTTAGATGTTGGGAAGGGATTTCAATGATTTATTGAATGTTATTGAGAAAAGAGATGGAGGACCTGTTTCACTTTGTAAATTCAATATTTTAAGAAAAAGAATTGAGGAGTGCAAGCTTATGGACCTAGATTCTAATGGTTTCAAGTATACTTGGTGGGGAAAGATGTTTCACGGGGGCGTGAGAACCAATGAGAGACTTGATAGGGTCATATATAATTCCAATTTGAGGATCAATTTCCTGGAGGCTAAGGTTAAGGTTCTTGATCAGGTCGACTTCTCTAAACACCATTATATGCTTGCTACGTTGAAGGATATTAAAAGTAGAAACCCTCCCAAGGCGTTTAAATTTGAGTGTGCTTGGGTTTTCGAATATACCAATGAAAACATGATCAAAGAGGCGTGAAAATAAAACAACAACTCAGAAAAAACCTTTTAAGAGTTAGAGGAAATGAAAGGGATTGGAAAATTCACATTGTAAGAAGTATACAGTCTCTTAAAAGCTAGCAGGAATTGAATCATAGAGCTCTCAAGTCAACTAAGTTCTTTCTTGAGTTTTAAATTTATTCTAAAGGAATTAATTATTTGTTTAGGAGACATTATATATAACCAGAGATGTGAGGTCTAATCTTGGGTTTATATCAATCTTTGTATTCAAATTAATTGAGACCTTGTTTGATGAATGTTGGTGTAAAGCTATTGGTACAAAATTGATTTACAAGAACAAGTTTGATGAAGTTTGTGTTAATGGAGGGTGTTTCTTTTTTGGGGAAACAATTTTGTCTCTCGGATCAATAATAAGTCTATTTATGTATCCTAGTGTTTATCTAAGGCTAAGTATAATGCTGAAGGAAGTTGTTGCTCTCAATTTATTTGGTTGCTAAAAGATTACAATGTCCAACAGGATGTCATGATATTATACTATGTCAAGGATGTCAATTTGCATAACAGGACAAAGCTCTTTAATATTGGCTATCTCTTTTTCAGTGGCCTTGCTAGAGGCAAAAGTGCTACTCCTAAGCTTGAGAATTCCTAGAAACTACGGAGAGATATTTTATTTAGACTTGGATGCAAATCATGTTAAGAATTTGAGGGATGTTTTTGGAAAGATGCTTTGCTAATGGATGAGATCATTCACATGTTAGGATGAGGTTTTCTTTGACCAAGTCAGAGTCAGTTCAAATGGTGTGAGATTCTCAGCAGTCAAAGCTTGGGAAGAGAAAAAGAAGAACAAGGAAGTCTCTTTCTCCTATAGTAAGTGGTGCACTGATAATGAGAATGATTATACTTCTTTCAAAAAATCCCCATTGACAGACCTATCGTTACAAGCAAGGTATTGTTACAAACAAGGTAACTCTTATTTTAATTAACACCTTACCGGTTGTTCCTCCTCTCAAACTACATTTCAACATGAGCCAGTCCTCCATAAAGACTGATGCTAAAAAGGTTCGTGTACTGGAAGCCAAAAAGGATAATAATACTGATACAGAGAAGTTTGTATCCAAGGTGGAAACATTTGTTGGATCATCTACTGGGGCATTGGTGATAGGGAAAAAGTGTGTGACAAAGATGAAGTCTCTCAAGAAAAATCATGTTCAATTACATGATTATGACTCAGATACTGATGAAGATTGGGTTGCTTATTGACTAAGTGGCTCGTTTGAATAAATAGTCTTACATTTCAGTGTTTTGTTCCTTGTTAGTTGGATTTGTAAAAATTCCCTAACAATGTTTGTTTACCTTGCTATTTGTGTTTCCATCAAGTTTTTGTTTTCATCTATTTGTTTCCAGTACTAGTGTGTGTTTCCATTTGTGTTTATTTCTTGTGTGCAATATAATTGTTTTTACATTTCCTCTATTTTTATCAAGTTTTGGCTAAAAATGGGGGAGTAAAGTGTTAGTGTTTCTGTTGGTCCTGATGTCATGTCACATGTTTTGACACATTGAAATAATTTTCTCACTAAAAAGATTTTAAGCAAAACTGAGTATTGTATTTGAAGTGTAATATTCTATTTGGTTGTTTTGGTTCTAGTCACTGATTTGTGATTGTAGCTATCACTGAGGTGATTGGAAGTGAGAGGGAGATTTCATATCTAGAAGGTTTCTAGGTAGAAGTTGTACAAGGTAGTGGTTAGGCGATAAGTTGTAAACTGCGATTGTTTAGGCTTTGAACTAATGTTGTCATAGTGAATTTCCTTTCTGCCTTGGTAGCCTTCAGAGTAGATGACGTTGCACCGAATTGGGTTAACAATTAGCTGTGTTATTTATCATTCTGTAATTTATTTCTGCATAAGTTACAATTTTGATATGTTAAGTTTTGTCTGTCAACACATGTCACAATATTTGTCTTGATATTTTGTGATGATGTTGAGTCATCAGTATTAACATGTTTTAAAGTTCCAGAATTTCACTTTCTATCTTTCTAGCAATCCAACAAAAACAATCATGTATTTAGAGAAATATATCGAGAATAGAAAATGTGCCCAGAAAAAGGTTAGGTTGTTAAGACCGAATATTATATATATTTATTGGTATTATCTAGATCGAGATTTTAGTAAGCTCAATTGTGATGAAACTTTTAAGAGGTCTACTTCCATCGTTGTATCAGGAGGCTTATTTAGAGACCCGTTAAGGGATGTGTACGTAAAACTAGTTTGTGTGATGCATTCATTGTTGAGATATAGGCAATGTTGCATGAAATGGAGATAGTTTGGAACGATAGAATTGTAAATCTAGTTGTTGTTGACTAAGTGAATCCAAACACAAGAGGGTGGTGAATTTTTATATTCAGACTTAATAAAACTTTGAGAAAAAAAGTTTGATTTGAAAATAATTTATATTAGAACAAATATATAAACAAAGACTAAGTAACGTAATAAATTAGATGACATAAAGATAAAGAGGAGGAGATAGAAATATCACACCATAGATTATTCTGGTTCATCCTAAACCCCGTGGCCTACTCTAGTTATAAGAGTTTTTTGTTAGATTTCCATTAAGAACAACTTCAAATTTTACATAAGTTTAACCCAAAAACATTTCACATACAATTTGAGATTTCCATTAAGAACAACTTTAACTTTTACATAGGTTCAGCCCAAAAACATTTCACAAAAAATTTGAGATTTTACACATGATTAGCCCAACAACCTTACACGAATAACCTTGAGTTTTTACACAACAAAACACCTAGATCTTTTGCACAAGTTCAACTCAACAACCTTACACCAAACATTTTACATGTTTAACTTATAATTATTGGGTCATCACGTGGAGCATCCACATTAGGTCAAGAGCAACACTCAAATAAAAGAGACACCACATATTCACTCAAGACCTTAAGACGATAGGTGTATAGGTTCTCTCACTTATAAAGTGCTCAGCCTTCACTTTTCTAAGTAATGTCAGACTTCCAACTCACACTCATATCACAACAACTCCTCTTCAAGTGTGAGTCCATTCCCCATGTTCCCCTCAAGCAGAAGCTCTTTCATTCATATACATGTGTGCTACCGTTGCAGACATTACAACAGGACACGCCGTCTGACCAAAACCATGCCAGAAAGATTTTCGATACAAGGAGTCGACCCCTTAGTTGAATCATCGGCTCTAATATCACTATTGTGTTATCACAGGGAGCATCCATATTAGGTCAAGAGCAACACACAAGCGAAAGAGACGCCACGTATTCACCCAAAACCTTAAGGTGATAGGTGCATAGGTTCTCTCACTTATAAAGTGTTCAACCTCCACTTTTCTAAGCAATATGGGACTTCCAACTCACACTTGTATCACAATAGTAACCTTCAAATATATTACAAAACATGACAAGAGAACTAAGCTATTGAATAAAAAATTACAACACAACACCCACACAAATTTCAAATGAAGTTTTTCACTTTCTCACCACTATGACGATTATAGTAAAAAAAAATACTTTATAAAAGAATAGAGAATAGTAAGATATTAGAAAAGTTTATTCAGAAAACTAGTGTACTTTGAAATGAGAAAAAACTTTGTTATCTAGGAAAAAATCGGGCCCAATTCATGGATTTTTTAAGCTTTCTAATCAATTAGAATAATAGCCTTAATCAATTAGATCAAGGCAGAAAAGGAAATATTAATCTTGGACATCACTTAATCGATTACAAGTCTTTCTAATCGATTAGGAGGTGTTACACTTGTTTTAATTAATTAGAATGAGAGGTTTAATTGATCAGACAATGTACTTTGCCTTCCTAATTATTCAGACGAATTTCTTAATTGTTTAAGCACTTGTTCCGACGAATTAAATGAAAACTATTTTTTAGATTTGTTAGAGGCTCTTATTGTTTTTTTTTTACTTCTCTGGGCCATTAAGCCATCTTTTGTAATTAAAAAAAAAACTACAAAAACAATCTCTTTTGTTTCATATAAAAACGACAAAGGAGGATTTGACAATAATTTGAACATTCAATGGTAATGAGGGGGGCAAAAAGAAGGCCCCTTCTCCAACCAGACTCATCTTATAATTCACAGCCCCACGTACCTTAAGAACATGGACTAAATTATTGCACTCTTCCCTACTTAAATATTTGTATAATTGCACTCTTTCTCTCTCATTTCAAACACCATAAACCTCTTGTTGAACAAAGACACTTACTTGTGCTTGAAGCAACAACATAATCAATCCTAATTTAGAAAATTCAGCAACTTACCAAATATAAATTAAACCCTTCTCTGTCATCACTCATCATTGCCCTCGAATCCAACCAAAAGAACTAACACGTGGGTTGCAATATTCTGTCCCTCTTCTCCATCATCCATATATTCTCATCCTCATAATAACTACCAACATAGATAATAAGATAACAACGGTTTCGTATGGATATCGAGATAGAGTTAGCAAAGTGTGAGTGTTGTGGCTTGAAAGAGGATTGCACTCAAGACTACATCAGTGAAGTGAAGTCGAAATTTAGCGGAAAATGGTTATGTGGGCTGTGTTCAGAAGCTGTTAGAGATGAAGCTATTAGAGGGAAAAGGACATTTGCAATGGAAGAAGCAATGAAATCTCACATGTTGTTCTGTCGTAGGATTAAATCGAATCCTGCAGTTTGTGTTGCTGATGGTATGAGACAGATGCTTAGGAGAAGAAGGTCAAATGAGTTGTCTTCATCAAACACACACACGAAGTCAACCACAACTTCTTAAATTGGTGAAAGAAAAACAGGAGAGATTGGAAAGGTTGAAACAGGACAAACCATCACTGTGTTTTTTTGCTATGGTTGGAATACATGTTTAGTTGCCTTTTTGTGGCTATGTTTTTCATCTGGTCTTCTTGTATAGTGGCTGTTACTTCACATCAACTTTTATTTTGCTTTCCTTTGTAATTGGTAACAGAGGTCATTTTCAAAACAAAACAAAACAAAAAAGCGAATCTCAATTTTATTCTGTATGAAATAGAGCAATAGCCACTCTTTCCTAAAACCTCTGTCATTCAGCACCAAATGCTTCTCATGAGTTAGTGACTATTCCCTATGTTGAATAGGTATTGTTGCTTTACATACAATATATTCATTCAAAGAAAGGATATCAATATCATCATCTTACAAGAGTAGCTTCCAAATGATTCACATGAATAAGTGTGTTTGATAGGTTTTAATTGCTAGGTCAGGTATTCCACAAATAACAAATGATAGCCACATTCTTAAAATATAATTTTTTAGATCTTAGGTTACTCCCACTAAACAAGTTGGATCTATATTTCATCAAGAGAGTCAACATAAATCAATAACCAAAATCATTTCACAAAAAAGTATCTATATTTTATTAAGTAATACATTGCTTCACTATAAGATAACTAGTACATTTTACAAACTATTAATTTTCAAGATTATTTTTGCACTACATCAAATCAACTATAGTTGGAAGTTTAATTGAATCCTGTTCTTTGAACATCAGAAAACGACACTGTATAACAAACATTGTACATAATACGAACATCAGAAACGACACTGTATAACAAAGTTTTTTTTTTTGCACTATGGGTGTTGTTTTCTGAATTCAATTTACTAATACAAATGGATCACCAATAGTCCTTACAAGAACAAATACCACTACTGCAATGGTGAAACCTAGTCCTATCTCTCACAACAATCTCTACTTGATACACCTTTGAGACTAACTTCATAAAAGAGTGACAATCCTCACATATTCTAAGATTTTTAACTATGTGAATGCATGATTCTTTCCTCCTGCTAATTAGTCCATAGCAAACTGCTAATTTTTCACTATGCCATAGAACCAAATCTTTTTTGTCTTCCTCTTCTAAATCAATCAAAATGTTTGAGGTACTCGGCTTGTAGCCAACCGACTTCAATTGACTGACTACCTCATCTAACTTGTGATATATTTCATCTGATTGTTTATGATATCTATCAGCCATCATAAACGTATGAACCTCATTGTTTATTTCAACCCTACTGCATGCCTTCTCTTTTGAGATACCTTTATAACTCATTGATTTTCTGATCAGTCCAACATCATTCCATCTTCTTTCTTTGGCATATATGTTTGACAAAACCACAAGAGCTCCATCATGACCAGGCTCTAACTCAAGCAGCTGTTTCGCAGCAAATTCCCCTAACTCAGCTTCACCATGAATTTGACAAGCAGACATAAGGGATCCCCAAATGATAACATTCGGCGCAAAAGGCATTGTCTCGATAAGCTCAATAGCTTTTCTCAAGAGATTGGCTCTACAATACAGGTCAACCATGCACCCATAGTGCTCACGGGTAGGAGAGATGTGATGATCATGAATCATGGATGAAAACAATTTCTGGCCTTCCTCAATTAAACCGGCATGTCCACAAGCATAAAGCACACCTATAAATGTAACACCATTGGGCTCAATATTTTCTTCTTTCATCCTATGGAAAAGATTTATAGCATTATCTGCATTCCCATGCATTGCAAATGCATTGATCATACTGGACCAAGATATCACATTTTTTCTCGGCATATTCTCAAATACCTCTCTTGCCTTGACCAAGTTCCCACATTTGGCATACATATCAATTAGTGCATTGTTAACAGATAGAGCTCTTCCAAACCCATTTCTATCTACATAGGTATGAATCCATTTTGCTTGAACAAGTGCGCCAACATGAGAGCAAGCAGAAATGACACTCAGCATTGTGATCTGATCAGGCACTATTCTCTGCCGTAGCATTTCATTGAACAATTTAAGAGCCTCTTGAGGTTGATCACTTTCAGAATAACCAGATATCATTGCACTCCAACATACAAAGTCCTTTTCAATCATTTGGTCAAATATGAAGCGAGCATTCTTAGTCATTCCAAGTTTTGCATAACCAGAAAGCATTGCAGTTGAAACAATCAAATGTTTCGACGAGAGTCCGTCATATATTTCCCTAGCCAACTCCATTGCACCACAATTTGCATACATGTTAATGAGAGCAGACTGTAAATAAGAGTCAATAGCAAGACCATTGTCCTTAATAAACTCATGGATTGAACTACCATAGCTTAAATTTCTAGCATGACCACAGGCAGAGAGCACAGTACAAAGGATAACAAAATCAGGCTTCACACCAGAGTTCTTCATATCTTCAAAGAGGCTTAAAGCATCATCAAAATGACCATTCTGGCAGTACCTGATTCAAAAATATCTCATTCAGAAAAGAGTAACTAGAATGCTTGCAAGTATTTAGGTTTATGCATGAAAATAAGTTGAAAAAACATGTTAATAACATGTCATAAATTGCTATATAAAGTGATCCAACCAAGCTGCAGATATTATATATAGCATACCCATCAATGATAGTATTCCAAGCAACAGCATCCGGGTGAGACATTTTATCAAACAGCAACCGTGCATCCATGATGCGGGCACACGACGCATACATTGCAATTAAGGCAGTTTGAATAAAAGGGTCAGAAAGGAAACCAAGCTTTGACGCAAGGCCATGAATCTCCAAACCATAAGTAAGGGCGGAAAGTTTAGAAACAGCTTTCAACAACGGAGGGAAACTAAAGGTGTCAAGAGTGAAAACATCAATTGTTCTAAGATTGTGATATAGGAAAAGGGTCTTGTGAGGTAAGGGAGTGCGAGAGAGATGACGGAGGAGTTGGTTAGAGAAATGGGTAGGTGGGTTTGGAATTTGGGAGAAAACGGAGAGAGCATAGTCGAGGGTTGAAGAGGAAGATGAGAGGGTGCAAGAAGAAAGGACGAGTTTGGGAAGGAGGGTGTTTGAATTGGAGTGGAGGATTTGTGCATGGATTTGTTTGAGGTGAGAAAGTGCTGTTGATGATGAGAGTAATCTTTGCAATTGATCATGGGTGTGTTTGTGGGACATGGTGGCCATTGCCATGTCCATGGCCAAACTACAAACTCAAGGTAAGGTGTAAGGAAGTATCTTTATAATCATGATAAGGATATAATAGAGACATTTAACACAAAAAATAAACATCAAAAAATGATTGAATAATAAAATCATGATCAAGTATTTTAAATTTATTAAATAATCAATATTTTTTATCCATTATATCGTTTATTCAATAAATCTAAAAAAATAAATTTTATTTTATAAATAGGAGCTGAGGGAGTATTACATACACTAGACAATGTATTACTATGAATACTATGAACTACTTCATTTGAACATATTTATTGTATTGGTTTCATTTATTTTAATGTGATAATAGTGTAATGTTATATTATGATAATGTTTTAATGTTAAAATTATAAGATATGAGTAGTTTTCAATAAAACTTTATGCAATAAGAAAATATGTTCTATATATCGAGTCTTTAAAGGTAATTTTTACCTAGTTAGTTGAGATTTCAAATATAATTTTTATTAGTCAATTTGATATACACAATTAATAACAAAATGTATATTTGGACATGTGTTTCTAATTTTGATAAATTTAAATATTGTAATATTGATTTTTTTTTATAAAGTCAAATAATTATATATTAAAAAATAAAAGAGAAAATCACTTACTACAAGTCGTGCCTAAAGCGAGTTTAAAATAAATGTTCATTGAAGAGAGATAAAGTAAAACATAAACAACAAACTTAATTACTTTACAGAATACCTATTGTTAACATCATAAGAGGATTAGTTGCCTTTAGTGTTTGATAACTTTGGTGACTGTATATTAAGCAGATAATGAATTAATAAAATAAATTAGTTAAATGATAGAGATATTGGTTAAAGAGATATAGACAAGGTTACCAATATTAGTCCGTCAAGAACTGAAATCGAAAACATGCCTCTGGACTCTAGTCTTGTGGCCTTCAGTCACCAAAAAGAACTTAGTTTGATGTTTTCAACAAATTGCAGTAGCCTTGATTTTTTATTGGTGAAAGATAAACAATTTCTTTCCTTTCAAATGACCCGGATACTTGTCAATCAGATGATTTGAAAACAATTATAAATTTCTTTACTAAATCTTAATTTTTTGTTTTTATGATTATCATTATGTTTGGTAAAACTAATATAGCAGCAATATGTTAAATATGATATGATTACTTGCTATGAAGAATAGGTTGAGCAAAAAGTCATATTTTATGAAGAACATGTTGAGTTGAAATATTTTAACATCTGAAGCAACATGTCGGATAAGATGTTCTATGCAGGGTCATACGACATCACGTCTGAGCTGAGCTGAACAATTAGATTCTGTTATGATTTAACAAATGTAGAATATTCTAAGAATATTATGCAGTCCTATGTAGCGTTGATTTAAAGGTCTGGAAGAATCAAGAAGAAGATTAAAGAATATTGACTTTCTAAATAAGGAGACTTTTTAAGAAAGATTTGACTGAAGACTTATTTTGTTGCAGAATCTTCTGCAGATTTGTAACAGCTGATATGCTGTGATTTGAAGCCCAAATCCAGTTGGGAGATAGGTTATAAATAGAAGCATTGTAACCTAGGTAAAGGTACCAGCCGTGAATAAGAAAGATATAATCATTAGGGTTGAGTATGTGTGTCACTCTCTAGGAGAGTTGGTTTGTGTGATCCACTCGATATGTGAGTTGGACTGTGTTCCTTGAGTTGTAAGGTTCTGTTCTCACTCAGAAGCCTTTAGGTAATTAGTTAAGTATTGTTCTTGGAGTAAGCTTTTAAATAACTCAAAGTTGTTTTCTTAGTCAAGAGCCTTGGCTAGGTATTGTCATGGAAGTGTGTCTTCTAGTTTGTCTTCATGGAAGTGTGTCTTTCTGTTTTGTCAAATCGATGTCTGTGATTGATGAGAGATTGAGGAGAGTCTCATATTTAGATGAGTCTTAGATAGAAGTATAGCACGGGTAGTTATTAAGTGAGTAGATCATAAACTGGTATGTTTGTTGTAGAGTCTATGAATTGATACTATCATAGTAGACTTGTCCATGGCTTAGTATGCCCCCATAGTAGGTGTTGTTGTCACCGATCTGGGTTAACAATTCTGGTGTATTGTTTATGCTTTTCAATACTGTTTTGATTATGTTTATACCTTGTGTTGTACCCCAAAATTTTCCCTCCCATATTCTTCAAGATTTGGCAAGATCAATCTCCAGATGGTTCAAGATCTCTCAAGGGTTGCACAGTCCAATTGCCTCCTAATACAGTCAAAATTAGGGTTTTGGTTCTTGCAAATAAATTGAGGTTTTCAAGGGTCCAATCAAGTCCCATATGCCTACATACATTGTCAAGCACCTACATGACAAGTTTCAAGGCTCACATCACCAAGTTGCACAGTCAAAAGCCCTAATTGCTTCACAGTCAACTGTAGGGGTAAAATGGTCATTTGGCAGTCCAAAGTCAAAATTTTTGGTCAACATCTCATTTTGAAGCCACAATCATCATTTGATCAAGTCTTGATCATGATTCCACAAGCATGGCTCAAAAAGTCTCAAGATGTCAAAAGTTTCTATTTTTGGACAGCTGAAAAGTCAACTGTAAATTGACCAAGGCATAACTTTTTCATGGTTCATCAGAAAAATCTCATCCAATGCTCATTTTGAAGGGGATGACATTTCCTACAACTCATCTTCACATTCCAAGTCCAAGAAATGCTCTCACAAAAAGTTATCAATTTCAACATTATAGGTCATTTTCAAAAGTCAACAAAAAGGCACTTTAAGTCAAAGACCATAACTTGAGATTGGTAAATCAAAATGACATGGGACCAAAGGTATTGGTTAGAGGACTTCAAGACCTTTCCAAAATGTCCAAGAACATGTTCATAGCTTCAAAATTGAGCAAGATATGCATTGGAGAAGTTGGGAAATTTTTGGGAACTTTCAAAAGTCAACTTTGCCTAAAACACTTCATTTTTGCTAATGGGCCTCAAATTCCTTCTTGAATCTTTGCCCAAGGCTTATGCACGACCCATTGAATTTAATTTGATTTATTTTCTTATTTTTAATTAATTAGTTGAATTTATATTAATATTAATTCATTTAATTGGTTTTAATTATAGGAAAATTAAAAAGATGTGGTTTTTTGGATCTTTTGTGAAGCAAATCAGATCAGGGCAAGCTGGCAAACTCGTTTCTCAATCAAAAAGGCAAAATCATCCATGTTTGGCAAGTTTTGGTAATCAAAAAAGTTGGAAAAGATTTGATAAAAATCAAAGAATGAAAACATTATTTCATGGACTTTTGGGCCAAGGTTTTAACCTAATTCTCTTCACATACATATGCTGAAGCCAACCCTAGTGGAGAACACGTGCAAGCTTCCATAGAACTCCATAACCAAATTGCAAAAAATTGAAGAAAAGTGTGAAACTGGTTTCCTATTTGCAGCGTATTTCAAAGCCTAAAAAGGATTCAAACACCTTGCCTAAGTCTCCAGGAGTCTATTGGCATCAAGAACCAGTCCAAACACGCAAAGAATCAAAGACAACAAGTCATACGGTTTGCATATATTTCCAAATCTGCATATCATATTTCATGCGCTTTTAATCCATTTTTTGATTGGTTTGTGTTGTTAGGAACCTTCTGAAACTAATGAAATAGTTTAATTGAACTAACGCGCACTGAATCCAAAATCACCATGAACAAGTTCTAGGGTTCTTCAGTTTCAAATTTGGGGCTTTCTAAACCCAGAACAATTAGGACTAGTGATGCATATGACTGGATTCGTTGCAACAAGACGAACTCATTGAGACCCTCGCGCTCTTTTTATATAATCCATAGCTCTAATCGCTATTCTTGGGACTTTTGCTTTGTGGGGGTTTAAAACCCCCGCTATCTTGTGTTATGTTTGCAGGTGAAACGAGGAAGACAATAGGTGGCAAGGCATGGTTGGTGGGTTCAAAACAGCGCGCGTTATTTTGCTTGATTATCATAATGTTTGTTTTTTTTATATAATAATTGTTGTCCATTTACATTACAAACGCGCATGGTAGTTCAGATGGCAAAGGCACAAAGGGAAGGAGTGCTGGGACCTGGGTTCGATTCCCAGGTCCCCCATATAATTCTTGATATTTTTTCTAAAGCAATCTCATGCAGCGCCTCTCAAATATTCCACCATAGGCCTCATGCGTCAGTTTGCCAAGTGGCTTTGATCAACAATCTGAAGGCCAGGAGATGTGGAGCATGGTACACCCTAGTCAAAAAGCATGCACGTGACCATGAAAGTCAACCAGGCTTGGTCTTCTTGGGCCAGAATTGCTTCAGTTTTACCTCCACTTTGGGCCATCACACCCCCTTTGGTTTGCATTTTAATTTTATTTTCTTTTCTTTTGAATTCTTTTAATTGTTTAATTATTATTATTAATTCACAAATAATTAATTTTTCCTAATAAAAATCAGAAATTCAAAATTGTAAATATATTTATTAAATTTACTATTAACTATTAATTTAATTTTGTAAATAAATATTGACAATTAACTTAGCTTAATTTAGGTTTTAATTTTAACCCTTTTTCTTAATAAATAAAAATTGCATAGAATTAGGTTTTGACCTTTTTTTTTAATCATTTTCTTATTATCATCATTATCACTATTTATTAATTATTATTTTTGTAAATAACATGTAAATTAATTAATTAGCTTAAATTAGGTTAACTTTAACATTTTCTTAATAATTAAAATAAACTTAGAACTAGGTTTTTATTTTGATTTTAATTTATTTATTTTCATTAAATACAAAAAAACATAAAAATATATTTCTTTAATTAATTAAATAATTAGGTTTAATTTTAATTTAAAGCAAAGGACAAAAAACTCTTAATTTCTCAAAAGGGTCCAAAACCCTAGGACGTCTTGATTTTAATTCTTTCGCACGTTATTCTTATATTTTGATTATTATGTAACTGCTTCCAAGGATGTAATAGTAATTAGGTTTATTTCTTTTTTACTTTCCGCATCTTTATCAAAAACG